TGGCAACCTCATAATTATGTGAAGACTACAGGAGTCCAGCACATAACCCCCTGTACAAACTATTTGTCATTTTTAAAACTTTGTTTTTTGTGCAGATTAAAGCTCACTAATTACCACATAATTTTGCTTTTGTTTAGTTGCTGTTAGGTGGATTTAGTTACTTTTGGAGAGAGCCAGGCTGGCTGTTTCCTATGTTGAACAGCCAGGTTTCTACAGTAGCCCAGAATGGGCAAACCAAACACTGGCTCTAGACAGGGCCTTTCAGGTCTTCTTGTGTGTTTCACAGGCACTTCTTACGCTTGGAAAGGGAGGGTGAAGCAAGGGAGTTTAAATTTGCAACTGCACTGCTAGATGCCACTAAATCCTACACAGTGGGCCTTTTAAAAGAGAGATACAGTAGTGGGATCAATCGTGGCAAGAAAGCAAAGAAGCATATTTCCCTGAGTGTCAAACTATTATTTTAAAGTCCAATGTAAATAAGCCAGACTTTATAAAAGTAAAAGTTATCATTATTATTATAATCATAATCATTATTATAATTATTATGGACCAACATAGGTCTACTGTAGAAGTAGTATGTATGGCATAGAACCCCATAATTGTCATACAATAGCGCATTCTTCACACTGGTTCACTGGTAGTCCAGTCCACCAGCTCACCTGACAAACTCACTGGTCGACATAGAACAGTTGACTAATCAATGTCCAACAGTCAATAAGATATGTCTGCTACTGACAGGAAATCAGCTCCATAAATACAGGTTCCCTTTCAGGAAATGGACAAAGAAACATTGATCAGTGTAATCTAGAGTTTCTCCATGTCCCTGTGCATATTATATACTTACACAGGAATTAAATGAGTAAAACCTGCATGTGGAGACTGATGTGAAACTTCAGTCAGGAGCTTCAACAATGGCAACAATGTTGAGTGGCAGTGTGAATGGCTTGTAGCCCCTCTGAGACGATTTTAATGGTCTGATAACATTCTATATTATAAAGCTTTTCAAGAAATGAATAGCATTATTGTCACTCATGACATTTTTCTCCTAAGCACACATTACTGATGCATTATGTAACCATAATGTGTGGAATATGTTCAAATTGCGGCGTGGTTCTTTTTAATGTATGTAAAGCACTCACTACATTAAGTACGGATTAAATGGATCAGGCATTCTATGTGGTTATGAACCTCATACAAAGAGTGAAAAACCTACAAAGTAACGATGTGAGCTTGACCTCTACACTCTGATGAAACCCACAATGAAGAATATATTACTGGTGTCCTCGTTGAATAAGACACAATATCTGCATTTGGAAAACAGAAAAAGGAGCTTGAATTTCCATTTTGTTGGACAGTACTTTCAAACAATGAGGAAAAAATTTGTACAGATAAATGTCTGTTAACTCTTTTCTATTTTGCCATTTGATTGACGCCAGCAGCACTGATTGATAATGATGCCACCACAACTAATTCAACTAATGGCCAGTTCTTTAGAGGGTTTACATTTGTTGTTCTAAATACAATTATAATAAATGTGATGTATGAAAGAAATCCCTGTTGTGCTGAGGAAGTGATGTCCTTTCACATTCCCAGAGGCACAACAGCACATTTTATTTTATGAGTGCACAAAAGTGGAAGAAATGTAACAATTTGCAGTCAATGGATGCAGTCTGGATTAGTTTTGGGACTGTCCCTACACAGTGAAGCACAAAACACAAAAGCATTGAATGTATATTAACAAAGCCGCTGCCAAAATCGATAAAAAAACATAAATTCAACCTGAGTACATTTCTTTTCAAGGTGCACTGTATGGTCAAAAATCAACTTTACTATTCAACAGCATGCCAAAGTAAGTGAAATAATGTGTTGAAAAATAACTTAGAACAAGAAATATACAGTAGCTGCAGTCTTTGTACTGTCTTTACAATCAAATAAATACCAGTTTTCCATGATAGGCACTTTCTCTGAGATCTTCACCTATTCATTGATTATCAGCACAGTATTTCTGTCAGGCTTTTCATTTTTCCATGATTCAGATTGTTTAATGATAACAATGGCAGATTCACCATCAAAATTCTTAGTATTATTTGAAACTATGACTCTCTGACTTCATAGATGGGTTAACAAATGCAGGTAAAATGTGAACTTTTCTCATTCTTTTGTTTAAAAAACTGAGGCTAAAGCTACACCAGTTGTTTGTCCATACAGAAGAGATGTAAATAAAGGAACAGGATTGTTTTCATCAGGTATTGTAGAGCTTGCCCTAATATTAGGGGTTAGATTTATGCTTTACAGTTAGTCAGACATGTTAACATTTGAAGCTTACATTAGAGCAGATTTTGGATTTAGAAAGGTAATTTAAAAAAGACAGCAAACTCTTTAGCTGCTGACTACGCTCTAGCACACAGCTTCAACATGTGGAGTAATCTAAAGCTAAACAGGCCTACTGAGCCCAGTTACATTTGCTAAACTATAATTAGAGAGTTGCTGTTTGGGTGAGGAGTTGCACAAATGGTCCATTTTGTGATGCACTTACAACACAGATATGTAAAGCTAAATCTCATAACATTCAATGTATATCACATTTTATAAACATAGGCAGTACTTGTGCATTACATGCCACATATGAGATGAAAAGCCAAGGCAAGTACTAAAGAAGGCGGGGGTCACAACCATTCAAATTAGTTTATAATGAATTTCACACTTGCACAGAATGTGTGTTTGTTGGTATTTCAGCAGCGCCTTTGTCCCTACATTGAAATGTAGATGGTTAGTGCCTTGGTGAAGGCCATGAGTAAATGGATGTGTACATTAAACATCATCCATGGTTCTTATCTCTATGTGACTGAACCTCTTCCCTAAAAGGTCACCTCTGCCTCTCCTCAGTCTGGTTTTCTCTGCCCAGTAACCACAATACTACCCACATATGACACATGACTTAATGGGAAACTGTTGCGAGATTGGAAATTATGCTGAACTTTTCAATAGCATCCATCCAGCTCTACATGCAGTTCTGCAAATTTGTATATTTTCCCCAGTTTTTGAAAATGCTTACCCCCCGCAATTGTCCCTTTTTAGGGGAAGATCAAAAGAAAATACAAAAGGCTGCTTCTTTGGGTTTGTAGGGCTTTTCAGTGGTTGTTTCTGGATGTTGTCCATTAAAATGAGTCCATGAGAGAAACTGTCTGTCATCACTGATAGCTCTCACCATGAGGCCTTGTGGGGATTAGGTCCAGAGTGCTGAGAGGGTCAGAACAGTACACATCAAGTCTACAATTATTTGGCTAAAATGAACATCTTTTTCCACAGAGTTTCACAGTTTTCTGCAGTGCTGATTGAATTTTAAAATAATAAGCTTCTCAGAAACATGACAGCTGAGAGTAAAGGTCTATCTATGGTATGAACTTTTGCTAAGAAGTCAGTAGATGCCCTTGGTGTTTGTTTTGACTTGTGCACTTTTTGGTTGATATTGTAGTTAACAAATACTTATTAACATAAAACATTTCTGCAGTGACTGCACCCCCATTGTATTTTTGGTATATTGTATCTGTTATAATATTTGTGTGGATGGGCACAAAAGTAGTGTTTGATATAGGCAGGAAAGGGAGGGTAGAGAGAGAGGGGATGACACGCAGCAAAGAGCCGCAGGTCATATTTGAACCCGGGCCGCTGCAGCAACTCCGTATATGGGTCACCAGCTCTACCGACTGAGCTAACCGGGCACCCTCAACCCTCTCATTTAATCAACTGGGTGGCCAACAGTGTTAGCCATTGCTTAGTCCACCACAATTTGCTAACCGGCCTAGCTTGCTAGTCTCAGAGACAGCTTAAATGACTAAAAGATTGCTAGCCAGCGCTATGTGGGCTTATTGAAAAGGAGGGGAAATGCTTTTCTATCAAAGCTTGTAGGTGGTAAATGCTCCATTAAATACATTTGGGGTTTCTTGTGGCCACAGTGGCAGCTGATTAGGAAACGTTCATAGTGTTGCTTTAAAGGTGGCAGTTAGGAGCTAAGTTCTAGGTTTCTACTTTTCAGAGAACTGTCTTTTCACTTTTGTATTTGGCTGAACCTTTTTTTAATTTATGATAACTGTATTGCATTTTGTATTAAAAGCCCCCAATCCCCCATCCTACCATCTCAATCTAATCATCTCTGTATAACACACAGTCCAGATGCAGTTGCACTTCATGATATATGATGATGGCAACAAACATGTGGTTAACATAAAAACATTACAACTGTCCCTCCCCATGGTTCTAGTGAGAACTACGCAGACTCTAAGGCAGAGTTTTCCATTGAGAAATG